GGGTGGTGGGTGGGGCTTGTTTGTTGACTAGGGCTGGTTTCCAAATGTCTGGTAGATGGGAGATATCATCACATTTATTCATGATGTGGGGGTGTTCCTCTATTTCAATAACTTCCATAATTATTCTCTTGTTTAAGTGTTCAGTTTTGGAGATATAAAACAATAAAACAATCTTTTAACCCTCTGGCAGAAGACAGGAAGCCCAAGAGCCAGTAAAGACAAATTAACCAAAAGAAAAAAGAAAAAGAAATTAACCAAAAGAAAAAGAAATCTTGTGAATAGACCTCATGTCCCCATCACTTGAACCCTTAATCCTGATCTTAGGACATAATTGGTTGGTAATCAGAGTAGGTGGAATATACTATAAAATACACTGAATACACTAAGCAATTACCATTAGCTTTTGAATTGATAATAACATCTTTAAGATATGAAAGGATTGTTCATTCACAAAATTATTCCCAGATGTCTCTAATATGGAGATGCATGCTCAAAATGTGTAACTTGGATGTTCCTAAAGAGATCTGTATCCATTTTTTTTGGTACAGCCAGCAATTAAAGGAATTCATCCTGTTAGCCATAAGATACAAAGCAAGAGCTACAGAAGTCATTCCATGCAGTAAATAATTTTGTAGCAGATCTTATTGCCCTATAATTTTATAGCTTCTAAGTTTATTGGATACATAATTGGCAGATGTGTGTTCTCATTAGAGCTTTTAAGAGATGCTGCAGTAAAGGTACTTGGCAGACAATAAAGTGGAAACTAAAGACCTTTGTTTACTATCACATAACCAACAACAGATGCATTGCCCTTTATAAGCAGTACTCAGCAAAGAAGATAATGAAGAACAGTTGGTGCCAAGGTTAAGCGGGGGGGGGGACTATGAATCCCTTCCAGATCAGGGATGGGAACATAGAAATTGCTGAACTACAACTCCATGTTTCTTCTTTATGAGGCATTAGGCAAGAAATGTAATCTAGGTATATCTGGGGAGAGACAGATCCCGAACCCACAATAGACTCTAAAAAACACTGAGTATGTTACTACTAATTTAAAATTTGTTGTACAAATCCACTGCACCAAATAGACTAAAGCAGGGGTGAAATGCTCTTAAGTCTGCTACCAGTTTGCTTCATGCGTGCAAGCGCATTTCATGCGCATGCACACCAAATGCACACTTTGTGTGCATATGCACCGCAGGTGCTACCACACAGTGCTGAAAAAGGAGGATTAAAAAGCCTTTTCTGAGTCTGCAAAGATAAGTAGAACAGCAGGAGGGGGAAACTGCTGTGCCGCACAATTTAGATTAGCTAGGAAGCAGGATTTCCTGCTTTCTAGCAAATATAAATCACACGGTACAGCTGATTGTCGCACAACTGATTGTCGCAATGTAAAAAAATGCTACCAGTTCAGGAGAACCGGTAGTTCTGACAATCAGCTGTGCAACAATCAGCTGTGCTGCGCAATTTCTAATCCCGCGGCACAGCTGATTGTCAGAATGTAAAAAATGCTATCGGTTTGGGTGAACCGGGAGCATTTTTTACTACCAGTCAGGAGAACAGGTCCAAACTGGTCACATTTCACTCCTGGACTAAAAATTAGCAAACTGTAAGTGTAGAGATCCATGGTTAGTTTGTGGGAGCAAAATAGCACCTGGTAGAAATTTATGCCCCAATAATGTTGGTAGTCTTCAAGGTAAATCAGATTCTTTGCCTATTCTGATGAATTATTAAAGTCCTAATAAATTTATCTATTGGTCAACTGATAGTTACATTGATATTATTGTAAAACTGTCATGTGTTTACTTAACTAGAAGCATATCAGATGACTCAACAGATGAGCCACTGATCTAGAAAAGCTATGTTATAGGATGACCTAGAGAGACAACAAATGGAATTGTTTAGGTCACACCATAACTACAGGCTTTAAAAGAAATTATTTCGCACATGCTAGCTATTTTGGCTGAAAGTGCTGTCCTACTTGATTGCCTGCCATGTCCCATCTGCATGGTTCAAATTCTTCCACAGAAAGGAGAAAAAAGCATCACAGTGGTGTCAGTGCGGTTTGGAATTATTTCAACACAAAATATGTTCAGTGGTGGAACTGTGATGAATTCTAAAGGACATTTGGGAATTTTCCCAATAACCTCACTGGCAGTTCTACCTAATTCCACTTTTGAGAGTTAGAGTTGGAAAATAACCAGAGGGCAGGATGAGATTGTCCCTGATCAGCTTTTGTCAGCCAAACCAGAAGAGCTCTGGAAGACAAATTAACAGAAAAGATGTTTTGATCTCTGTTGGAGGAAGATCAAAAGTGAATTTGACCAAGCAAGGGTATGAGCCTATTCTTTGGCAGTATCATATGGATGATAGGCAAGGAAAAGAGGGTTCTATTCTGCTCTTCTTAACCAGACAACACCAGCACCAGAAGGAGAGACACCAGTCTGATAAACATGGGATCCCATAAAATTGTGTCCTCTTACCCTGCTTTTTAAGAGTTACTTTAAATTGCTATAAGAGGTGATCCTTTGGTCAGGCCAGGCCAGCCAAGGGTTGCTGTGGAACACCTTCACCAGAATGGGGTCAACTGGGATATAAGGGGCATGGGACCCTTATCTTTAGGGACCTGGATGTAGTGATGGAGACGTGATGGCTCAGTGGTTAAGACAGTGAGCTTGGCGATCAGAAAGGTCAGCAGTTTGGCGGTTCAAATCACTAGCACCACCTAACGGAGTGAGCTCCCGTTACTTGTCCCAGCTTCTGCCAACCTAGCAGTTTGAAAGCATGTAAAAATGTAAGTAGAAAATAGGAACCACCTTTGGTGGGAAGGTAACAGTGTTCTGTGCACCTTTGGTGTTTAGTCATGCTGGCCACATGACCAAGGAGACATCTTCGGACAGCTGGAGAAGAGCCAGCGCTGTCCGAAATGGAGATGAGCACTGCCTCCCACAGTCACAAACAACTAGCACATAGATGTGAGGGGAACCTTTATCTTTATGTAGCGATATTGTTGGAGGGTGGTTTTTTTGGGGGGGGAGTTAGAATTAAACAAGAGATTGAACAATGACCTTCAAAAACATTTTATTATAAAATAGGCCTCAAAATAAATATTTATTTATAATACCAAAGTTTTAGTTTGTTTTTCTTATTCTTACTTTCTACTTACTAATTTTAGATTGCCCTGTGCTACTCCCTAGTTCAACTTTATTTACAGTCTACAGTTTATCTACTTATTATGGTTCTGTATATACCCGCCCCTTCAAGGAGAGAGAACTGTCATTTTCTTTGTCCTCTTACAAATCTGAACGTAAAGAAACCGACTGAAGTTAAATTCTGCTTAAGAGGAGTTGTTGGTCTGGAAATAATTTGACTCTTTACTCCACTCAGAACTCTGGATAGTCCAGAACATGGGTGTTAAAATAGTATGTGGGAATGACTTTGGGAGACAGGGCAAAAAGATGCAGCCAAGGAAACAGTCAAATAAAAAGCAGCTAAGTCTACAGCAGGAATATGGGCAGGGCAAACAGCCCAGAAGCCTCCACCCTAATTTTGTGTGCTATCAAGAGAAGAGAGGGAGGAAAGTACTTTCAGACTTGCAAGATTGATGTCAGTGTTGCAAGGTAAACCAGACAGCAAACACAGCCAGACAAGCTAATTATTTTATCGTCAAGCTACATTTATACAGAATCTTAAAAATGAGAACCCAAGAAATGTAGTAGGCAAATAACTTCACCAAATTATGAACAAGTTTTAATGCCCTTTTCATCATTTCTCTTCTTATTCAAACTCATTTCACTCACTCATTATTCTGCATTGAATTTCATCCTTTTTTATCTTCCAGACACAATTTTTCACACTAAAATATCATTTTGCTCTTTCAGTAGGCCTCCTTCAGTGATACTTTCTTTTTCAATGGGTACAGGCTGATGGCAGACTTTAGTAGGCCTTTAGCATGATATTGCTAATGATCCCACATTAGATCAGAATTTGAGTACTTCCCTTTACCACTCAGACATGAGTGGTCTCCTAGGCAGCCATTATGCCCTGTAGCTATTGGTGAATCATATCCTCATCCTTCATGTAGCAATAAATTGGATAAAAATTGAGCCAACTCAACAATAAGCTTTTCTCTGTGCCAGTTGGTTGGCATATTATTGTGGAATGTCACACTCAAAATGTCAAGATGGGCATTGCATATCAGGAAATGTGAGTAAGTTCAATTTCACCAATTCAGCAAGATTGGCTATGGGCCATTTTGGGTATTTGGCAGATAACCTATAATTCTGGCCTTGAATTAACATGACAATTTCAAGGAAGACAGATGTAGATGTTATATCAACAAACGCCACACATTCAGCAAAGACAGTTGCTCTGCATATTATACACTTAAAGAGGCAACAGAGAGGTACTACAAAGCAACAACACAGACCTGGAAAAAGATATGGTTGCTTTCTTGTTTTAAAAGGAGATGCCTTCAAAGCTCCCGTTTTGAAAGATTTGCATAGAAATTAAAAAACTGACATTATTTCATACTTTGATGTTATAGTGAATGGAATCTTTACTACTCATAATTTAGGTTTAGATCTAAAAATATATTCGTGCATTTGTTTTTGTTTTATTTTATTGTTATTTTATTTATTGTTTTTACTTTAATGTAAGAATTGTGTTGGGGAAAAAAAACTTGGGGCCTAATGAACATTTCAATCTGCTCTTTAATTCACAAGTTACAGCTTAGATAAATTCACAGGAAGTAACCAAGGCTGAACTCCTCAAGATACTGAATGCCAAAAATGGCCAGATTCAGAGAAGAAGCCTTTTGGTTAAATACTCTTGCCCTTATGCCCCCCATGATCAGAGAGTAAGGACAGGTGCAGCCAAAGGCCAGATGTGGCCCAGGGGCTGTAAAACGCCCAGGTCTAACATAAAGTATCAAGAAATTAAAATGCCACCCAAACAACATTCATCTCTGGCTAAAATCTCTTTCTTAATTCTGCACTTACCCCGTTCACATGTTCTTCCCCAGTAGCCAGTGCCTGTGCAGTCACAAATGAAGCGGTTCCAGCCATCCTTGCAGACAGCATTGTTTTTACAGGGATAACTATCACACTGTTTGGTGTTGACCCTAATGCAGGAAGACTTGACACCAGCTGCATTCTGCTGCTCTGCCAGCTGCCGGATGTTCTTGCTCCGGCCATCAATGAAGAGGTCTCGGATACAGCCCACATAACCATAGTTCAACATAGCTGTCCACAGCTCAGTAGGAAGGACAAGGCCGGCCCGATTTTCCGGCAATCCTCCCAGGTACATGTCTCCTTCAAGATCCAAGATCTCACTCTCTCCACTTGCAGTGAAAGGGGTCCGTCTGCTGTTCACTGAAATGGTACCTGAAAGGAAGGAAAGAAGAAAGGAAAGTCGAGCAACAGTCCAAGGTATGAAGCAAATCACCTTCCTGTGCAGTTTGAATTCTGATGAAGGGTGAAAAAAACTTGGTTAGAAAAGTTCAAGGACTCCTCTTTAAACAGAGGACAGAGAACATTTGTCTTGAAACATGTTACTGCCTCCTAGCAGAACTGTCAAGACTGTATAGTAGTTACTACCCTGTTTCCCCCCAAAAAATAAGACCTTCCCAGATAATAAGCCCAATCGGGCTTTTGAGCGCATGCACTAAAATAAGCCCCTCCTGAAAATATTGAAACACAGCAGCAGCCATGAGGTGACCACACTTGCCGCTTCCTGAATGTCAAAAATAATAAGACTCTCTCTCTCCCTACCCTCTCCATCTATCCATCCATCCATCCATCTTTACTTTCTTCTATCTAGGTACAGCTTGTGAGAAATACTGGTTTGACCAGTATTTGGAAAGAGGAAAGCTCAACTGAGAAAAGCTTTTTTTCCCCTTTACAATAAGAAAAAAGTCCATTTTGGAGCTCCTGAAAACGCTAGTCCCTGCTGCTGAAAATCAGCTTCAGAGTGATTCTTGAACCACAGCTTAGCCAGAAACCAATGTGGAATCACATGGATACAAAGACAAGCCAAGAATTATGCAAATACTGTGTCTTTAAGAACACAAGTTGAATTCTACTCTGGACACCTTTACTTTCATCTGTAACATTTGGGATGTTGTTACAGTTTTGTAGCTCAAAACCATCACCTTTGCTAAACCTTTTCTAAATAAACACAGACAACTGCCATTGTCAAGCAATTCATCGGATTCCATTGTTCCACAGTTTATAAGATTTTCTATTAGAGAAACGAATATATTTACACTTCTCAAGGATTTGGTCCATACCTGATCTACCATCTCTCTGTATATCAACATGATACCATTCTCCATCATTGGCTTTCCTCTGTGTTGCCTTTACTTTGACAGTTCCAGAGCCCATATCAAGAAGAAGGTAGAGATTTCCATCCAGGAGTTCTACTGCAAAGAAATCCACTTTGGTGTTCTTCTGGCTTCTGGAATCTTTCCTTTCCTGGGGTTTACCATGAGTGAAAAGAATAAGGCCATTGGGCTCTGTAGTGCGGAAGTCAAAAGAGATAGACCCCATTCTCTTGGTGTTCCACTTAGGCAGACTAATATAGGCCTCGGGATTTTCAAAATTGATTGGATCCAATGTGGCCACATTCTCACATGTAAATTTCACCTCCCCGTAGATTTTCATTTTTGTGTCGCCAATCCTTGCCAAACGAGATAACTCCAGACGAATATCATTATTTTTATAAACAACCTATCAGGGAGAAGGAAACGAATTACACATCAATCATAAAACAATCCATATTTTAGAAAGATACACCTAAAATGTATATTTCTGAATGGGACTTTCAGTTAAAATTCAATATTTATAGGAAATGCTATAAGCCAGGATTAGTTCTAAGTTCTAAATAGCATTGGAAATACACCAGTAACGATTCACAGGTCTCTAGGTGAGATCACCTTCTACTCACCATTATTTTTCCTTCTTCAGGGCTCAGTCCATGGCATTACATAGAACTGAGGCCCCAAAGAAGTTTATCTTTCTCCTTGTTTTATCAGTACTTGCTTGCTCAGAACAAAGACTCGGGAGTATAAACGAAGAAGAAACTCTTGAGTTGAAAATTTTCAACCTTTACAGAGGTACCACCTCTACCACCTGTAAAGCAGAGACCTTGATAGATGCGTTTTAACCATAATCCTCAACTTTAGTTCTGAGCTACCATGATTCCATTAAAAGGCTCTGGCTAATAAAGTATAAATCCTTTGTACTTAGTATTATACACAGATAAATGGCATGTACTATGTATGTTTTGAATCTTGTGCAATCAAAAGGGCAACATAAGTTATCATAAACTCTTCAATTTCATTTAATATTGTTAAATGTGGTTCAATTATATGTTTGGCTAACAGCGGCTCCTGCTTTGATTAAGATCGGATCTAACACAAGCTAGCAATAACCTGAGATACAATTTTTAAAAATGTCAAAATATCTGAAATATGAGACAGTTGCCAAGTGTCTGAATTTTGATCACATGACCAGGGGGATGCTGCAACAATGGCTGTATTTAAAAACGATCATAAGCCACTTTTTTTAGTGCTGTTGTAACTTTGAACTGTCACTAAACAAACTGTTGTGAGTCAAGGACTACCTGTGTTTATCCAGAAGCAAGTCTCATATATTCACTCGAAACAATTCCAAAAGCAGATGTGCATAGGAACAACTTAAGAATGGTGGTATTGGTGGGAAGTTATGCCTGACTGAAACAACATTTCAGCTACACACCCAAACCTCATCCTGCCACACGTTCAGGGAAGCAGATGGTGAGTGGTTTTTCCAGTCATAGGCAATACTGGGTAGGAGAGGAAAGAACCAGGAAGATACCAATCAATGAGCCTTAGAATACTTTGAACTGAACTGTACATGAGCAGCAACATTGATTGGCCCAGTTCCTGGTGTGTGGCAAAGGTAAGCTGCAGGGCAAGTGTTTTCTAGAACAGTCTCCATCCTTTCTGCCTCAGGGATATGACGAAAGCACATTGCCACAATCACAAGGAAGAATCCTATAACTACCTTGAAGAACATAATGATGGATCAATGTATAGGTGCATTCTATATAACCATCACATCTTTTGTAATGGGAGCAACTTATGGATGTTTATCTACTGTCAAAGACAGGCGTAGTTAATGCTTGGAAGGGGAGCCATTGGAAGGACTATCAGCTAGATCGGAAATTTGAAAAAAACATTCCAGAAAATGACAGCGGCAAATCACTGATAAGAAAAGCACACTGATGTAGTTGCCAGGATTACATTGACTGGCTATTCCTCAGACTTTTATAGGACATGCTGTGCCAGCCCACAGTGTCTTTCCCAATTGTACTAAAGACAAGGCAGTTGCATTAGGAATAAACAGAAGGTTTGCTTTGCAGACTTTATCTTTATTCATTAATGTAACCACTTCATTCCTAAAGCACCCTCCTTATCTTTTGTATAATTGGACAGGAACCGTAGGCTGGCACATTTAGGTACACCATGTCCTGTAAGAATCTGAGCAATAGCCAATCAATCTGAGATGGACAGCTCCATTCAGTCACAGGAGAGTTTTAAATTGAATTCATGAGACCCAAACCTTTTAATATGTGCAGAGATTCACAATTTTGGCTGACATTTTTGAATACCAGGAAACAAAAGGAAATCCTATTTTATTTAATGGGTTTTCCTCTCATAGAAGCCCACTGAGTCCCACTGAGCTGAATGGAATAGATACTAAAGTCTCACAAATACCTCTTGAAAGTGGGCTACATAGCATAATGTTCCTTCCAAACTTGTCACTAGTCTAAAAATGTAATCAACAACAAATTTCTTTCTAACCTATGGCTTTAAAAAAAATCCACCTAGTTACTCTATGAACAGCAATAGCAACAACAAGATTTTAGCCTTAGACCAGCAATCATTTTACCTGTAATCAATTGAGAAAGTGGAACATATCATATCTGACTATAGCCACTGGATGTTTCACTTCACATCTAATAAAATTAAGAAGGAAACCTTGCTCCTTTAGGTGTGCTGACTAACGGCCATGTTTCCTTGGGTCATAGTCAAATGCAGTTTTACAGCATTCCACTAGATGTCCCCATTGCCTTGGAATGTGCCCTCCAAGAGCATTTCCCTATCAAAGGTATATTATAGGATGGGTGAAGTTTGAAGGCCTGTGCATGTGTATTCATTTCTGTTTACACACACACTTAAAGGTTTACAGTTCCTTGGAGGGATTCTGCCTCCATTGCCCAGTAGTGTCAGTTACTCTTTCTCTTAAGTTCAATCTACACTTCTGCCCAGGAGGAAAATACAAGGCCAGCGAAGTCTGCTTTTCTTTGTTTTTCCATGTTTTCATACAGAAAGAGAAGGCAGATTAACAAGCACTCAGAATAGAGGTACACTCACAGTCTTGTTTTTATTTTCACTTCACAATTAATTCAGCTTTCGGGATACCAGTTTTTATAATACTGACCATCCACTACTCTGCGGTGTCTGGCTTAATGAAAATGTTCCTGCATGCCCATGCATTTATTTCTTATTGCTCTGACGCTAACCTAAACTGATGGGCAATTAGAGCAGAAGATCAATTATCTGTACCTTGCTTATCTAAATGTCTTGGTTGATTCACTATGTACACTGGTTGCATATATGCAAGTCACTGGATTCCTTTGAAAATATCACTCCCATTTATCCAAATGTCTAAATTAATTGAAGATTTTTAACATTTCCCAATGCTCCTGTTAAGACAAATCAAGTTTTAGTGAGTATCAGGAGATCTATTCCCAATAATCAAATTACCTAATGTGGGTGATGGGAAATCACTTTCATATAGAAATAGAAGAGAAATTGTCTTCTAATGTAAACGTCAGGTAAAAATGGTTTAGCTTTGATTAGAAAAGTATAGCATTAGGTGTAATTTGTTCTATGATTTATAGTAACATCAGTTTCTGACTACGGGAAATGATATGAAAAAATATGAAAAATACAAAAGTATACATCAATAATTATGTAGTTTAGAATATGCATCTATGAAACTTGTAGTATCACAACAGTGGTTTGGATTGTAATTTAAAATGGAGTAGAACTTCCAGGCCTAGGAGCAGTGTACCCCTATGTAACTGAAATGTTGCAAATGCAGCATTATAAATATTCAAGCTGTTGGGATATAGTTTAGCAGCATCAGTATCTCCTTCTTTATCTTCCTGTATAATTGTTATAAATGCTGAGGTAATCCTTCTCTCCCCTTCCAGGTGCTTTATGAGTAGCAAGATCTGAAGGATATGGAAATACAGTACATTGAAGCATCTAAGGAAGGAAAGTTACCACACTGTCCAGAATGGTATAAGATTTCCTGCTCAAGCTGGGGGTTGGACTAGAAGACCTCCAAGGCCCCTTCCAGCCTTGTTATAGTATGTTCACTACAGATAAAGCAAAACTAAATGGGGAAGTGAGGAAAGTGCTCCTGGTCCTGCCATAAAACCAGCAGCTAAATTTAGGATGATTTGACAGGACTAGAAATCTATGGTAGGTCAAGGGATGCATTGATACTGGCAAACTGTCAAGTATGTCATCAGGAATATAATAAATTCTGAATGTACTTATAAATAATGATGATATGTTCTACATCAGGAAAATAATTTATTAAATCCAATTATGGATGGAACTTTCTGAAAATGTAGTCCAATAAGAACTGGAGAGCACCATGTTGAGCAAGAGTCAAGATGTTGAGACTCTAGAAAGAGTGCAGAGCAACAAAGATGATTAAGGAACTGGAGGCTAAAACACATGAAGAATGGTTGCTGGAATTTGGTATGTCTACTTTAATGAAAAGAAGGAGTAGGGTTGACATGATAGCTGTGTTCCAATATATCAGGGGATGCCACAAAGAAGAGAAAGTCAAGCTATTCTCTAAAGCACCTGAGGGCAGGACAAGAAGTAATGGATGGAAATTAATCAAGGAGAGAAGAAACTTAGAACTAAGAAGAAATTTTCTGACAGAACAATTAACCAGTGGAACAACTTGCCTCCAGAAGTTGTAAATACTCCAACATTGGAAGTTTTAAAGAAGAGATTGGACAACCATTTGTCTGAAAAGGTATAGGGTCTCCTGCCTAAGCAGGAGATTGGACTAGAAAACCTCCAAGATGCTTTCCAACTCTGTTATTCTATTCTATATCTTTCTAAAAACGATGGGAGTTCTTGGCCTTCTAAATAAGAATTCACAAGGCAGTATTTTGATATGGTTCCTTCAACAGCCAAATCCCTCTAGGATGAGAGAGTTGATAAAACTAAAAACAAACACATTCTCAAACAAAGAATTCCCTTGTAACTATCATATTGGAAGATAATATGAAATTAGTCAACAGCCCCATTTTAAAGAAATAGATATGTGAAGGAAGTGGAAAACACTGAAATGATTGAACTAGTCCTATAATATATCTTGCCAGCATTCATGGGCAGCGATTAAAGACCAATGATTTATGCTAATACAATATGATTGCTTTAAGGAATCTGAAAGTCCAGTGTAACTTCAGGTTTAAAGGTTACTATAGACATTTTAGATGAATTCTGTGAAATGAGATATTAAAACTATGTATTGAAAATGGGAGACCCATAGAACCCGAACTAAAGATTAAAGGTTGAATTAGGCCAAATACAAAAGTCACCAAGCAATAACATCCTCTATAGGAGAATGACCTTCTCAGCTTGATCTAC